TGACGCAGTGGCTCTGTAAATGTAACCACAGAGTGCAGCAGGACATGCCAACATCTGACACTCCTGGAAGTGTTGAATGTAGAAAATATTTTAGCAAGGCTATTCTTTCATTACAGTGGAGTTTGGTTCTATGGGGAGCAGGACAGTGAGCTGCTGGTATCATCTTTTAAAAATAGCGACGGGGCACTAAGCATGACATTCAGCAGCTGCACATGTGATTCTTCATCCAAAAACTATCTGATCAAAAATGTCCACAATCTGCCCAGTATCATGTGATCAAACTTTCACACAACCTGCCACAGACAACTTAATGTATAGTAAATGCACTGCATCAAACCCACAAAGTAAAAAAGTAAATACATTTGTTAACTAAATACTGCAAAAAATTATTGTTTCCTACCTAATTTTTAAGTGGTCACATGACCACACTGCCTTCATTCTGCTTCCCTTCCTGTTAGAAGGAGGTGGATTTTTTTCTGGAGCAGGCGGGAAGTAAATGACATCACACATCTAAACTGTGTACAGCACTGGGTGGGGTGTGGCCAGTAAACAGACCATAACGTGTTGGCATGGCATACCGTAATGCTTAAGGGAGACACACTGGGATATAAACTGACCACGCCAGCACGGCACTGCTTCAATGCTTGGCGTGAACAGATTGCTAAAGCACCAAGTATATGTAAGCAAAAAAATAAAAGTTGAAGAGCCTACAGTTATACATACAGTTCATATAAAAAGTCTACACACCCCTGTAAAAAATGCCAGGTTTATGAGATGTGAAAAAAAAATCAGAAATCATCAAAATCAGAAATCACTTAAAAAAATGTTTCCACCTTTTTAATGTGATCTATAATCTGCACAATTCAAATTAATAACAAACTGAAATCTTTAAAGGGAATAAAAATAACAAAAAACGTATAATATTGTGGTTGCTTAAAAATGCACACCCTTAAACTAATACTTTGTTGAAGTACCTTTTGATTTTATGACAGCATTCAGTATTTTGGGGTAGGAGTCTATCAGTATGGTACACCTTTTAATATTGCTGAAGGTCTATTGGCAGCCTCCAGGACCAGTTTTCTTCTTGTTTTTTTCATCAATTTTGGAGGAGCGTCCAGTTCTTGGTAATGTCACTGGTGTGCCATATTTTCTCCACTTGTTGATGATCATCTTCCCTGTGTTCTATAATGTATCTAATGCCTTGACATTTTTTTGTACCCTTCTACTGACTGATACCTCCCAACAATGAGATCCCTTTGTAAGCTCTTTGCGGGCCGTAAGAGGCAACTGAGTAAATGTCAGAAAACTCCTACTAGAACGGCTGAACTTTATATGGGCATAATCTGAGTCACTTTAATTGATAAAGGGTGTGTACTGACTACTATTTAACATCAGTTTGAATGTGGTTGGTTATTTCTGAACACAGCCACATCTCTAATTATAACATAGTGTGTACACTTATACAGCCACATTATTTTCTTATTTATTTCCCACTAAACAGTTTCAGTTTCTTTTTTAATTAAATACAGATTATGGGTCAAATGTGAGGTAGAAAAACATTCCACAGGAGTGTTTAGACTTTTTATATCCACTGTATCTAGAAAGAAAAACAGTAATAAACTGAGAGCAGCCTTAGTAACCCATAGTCTGATTCTGGGCCAATGTGACCCAAAAACAGATGAATGTTATTGTGAATACTTGGGCTACATTGGATTTTAGCAAAGGCATGGACAGATTGCAGGATATGTTAGAAGATGGTACTACAATTAGGCATCACTCCTGAGATGGGGCAAGGAGCCACTCGATCATTTTCAGATGTCCCAGTAAATAGTTTTGACCTCTAGAGCAGGGATGGCCAAACTCCGGCCCTCCAGCTGTGGTGAAACAACAAATCCCTTGAAGCATCTCTCTCCCCGGGTGTCTTGTTTGTGGCTGTGAGAATCTTGCAAAGCCTCATGGGATTCGTAGTTCCACCACAGCTGGAGGGCCGCAGTTTGGCCATCCCTGCCCTAGAGTAACCTTGAATGGCCTGGTACTATCCTAAATGTGAGGAATTGAGAGCACCCCAACTGATTCGAGCGCACAGGAGTGTCAAAATTATTCCGTTAGTATGGGAGTTGATAGTTTTGTTAAATGGCATTGCTAGACAGGACATTAGATGCGCCTTGAGATATACCGACCTCCCATGCTATACCACTTTCATTTCATATATCTTCAGCTCTGATAAGTTTCTCAAACATTTACATATTTTAATATAACCCTGCTTTACATCTGGAGATTTTGTTTTTTTTAAGCTTTTCCCTACAAGCCACATTTATAAATATTTTTAATGATCAATCCTTGTAAGCATCAGTCTCTGCGCCAAAGTTGCTTACACTCCCAACCACAGTCAAACATTTATATTATACATTTATATAGAGCTTAGAGCTGCAACAACTAATCGATAAAATTGATGATAATCGATAATGAGAATGAGATGTTTTTCCCTGTACCACCGCTGCGCCTCCGATGCTTCTCCGTTCCCTCTGTTGTGCCTCCACTGCTACTCTGTTCCCCCCGCTGTGTGCCCAATGTCCCCCGACCCCAAGAATGTGCACATACTATGGAAACCAGAGGCGGCTCTAGACTTTGTGAGGCCTTAGGCGAAACTCAAAACGTGAGGCCCCCACCTACACCCATAATGAGGGCTTGAAAAATCCACACGACGAGAGGACGGTGGAGCCCGACGAGTAGCTCCCTGGCCGGCCGTTGTAATTACACAGCCGGCCGGGAGTTTACATTCAAGCGATCGTGCGTCTCTAGAGATGCCCTTGTATAGGAGCAGGTGTCACTGCCTTGCCGGTCCTGAGATCCGCTGTGCCCGATGCGGCCGGGACTGGCACGGCTCTGTGACAGGAGATCAAAGGGGAGTTCGGTACACAATCTCTCTTTGATCTCCTCTCAGTCCCTGAATGCAGGAAGTGATGTATATTATATCACTTCCTGCATTCAGTGTCACTCTCCAGCTACAGAAGCTGATGAAGTAGATCTCTGGGGGTCCCTAGGTGACATTAGGGGTCTTGGAGACCCCTGATGTCTCCATAAAGAGGGGCTGTGAAAATTAGTAGTGGATGCACTACTGTTTTACTGCAATGCATAGTAGTTTAGTACTGTGCGCTGTAGTGCACAATGACCGTGAGGTACGTTGGGGAGCCATTCACATTAATAGCAACATAATGCACCTAGCACATGGTACAAAATGCTAGGTGCATTGTGCGACGCACGGTATTATTCAATTAACGCAATACTATGGTGTAAAAGGGCCTTCAAACTGCTTAGAGCAGTCTGGAATGTACACAAAGGCCTTCACTAAAGAAATGGTAGGGTAAGAAACGTAAAGAAATATATTTTTCGGTATGGTGTGTGAATGGAAACATAACATTTTTCTAAAGTTTTACTGCTAAAGTGGGACTAGCATCAAAATACAAGGTCTGTGTATTCACTAGTGTCCTCCATGTAAAAATACCACATTACACTTTTAGAAAAATAAATCTTATACTTCCCTTTCACCCCAGTTTGTTCCTGTGGCACCGAGGCATGGGTGGTGTTACAGTTCTTCCAGGGAGATTCTACGAAACCTGAGGATCCAAAATCTCATGACTGGATGCCACAGCACAAATCAGGAGCGTCTTTTGGTTAGATAAGGTATCCTCAGTGTTCCTAGGATCTCACCGGAAGGCCTGTTATGTCATTCATGCCTAGGCACCAAACATTTGGTGAACATACACACTATGTGCAAAAAGTGTCCTTGGGAGGAACTGAACGTAGAGCCCCGGGATTTGCAGGTTCTAGTTTCTAGCAGGGTAGACTAGGACCCTTTGGTTCCTCAATAGCTGGAGTCTATATTGCATCTTCTAGCACAGCAAATTTTGGTGGTCCGCAATTGCCCCCTGGACCCCTTTGATGCCGTGTAGACTGGGCCGTCATTGAAGTGGCAGGGAGGCTCCGGGACAGCCACTCACTGACTCAAGCAGCGGCTGTCACAAGGAATCCACGTCTCTCAGTACAGTGCGGGGCATCTTGTCAGTACCCGCACTGAGCACGCTGCGGGACACGGACGAAGTGGGGAGAAGCCAGGTAATATTGGCACAGTGTGGGGGAAGGGGAGGCACGGGGGTGGTTGGGGGCTGTGCTGTAGCTAGGGGGGGTTAGTGCCCCGGGCTCCGCCAGCAGGGCCAGTGTCAGATTCGATAGTAGGGGAAACAATTAATATTATTACTGGGGCGGGCAGCACCGCTCCCTCTCTCCACCAGCACTGCCACTCCTGCAGGCACACCCGCACCTATGTATGTGTGTATATATACTGTATGTATATATAGATATATTGTATGTATGTGTGTGTGTGTCTATATAAATATATATATATATTTTTAAAAATTCATATTAGTGCTCCGCGGGATTTAAAATTATGAATTTAGTGGTCCATGAGGTCCGAAAGGTTGGCGACCGCTGTTCTAGCATACTGCTAGCTTCCTGTAGCACAAGAAGGGTTAACATTTGTCCGAATTTGTTTACACCCCTGGGCACAAGGAAGTCCTTCAAAGGATCAGTTGACAGATTGTTGCATTGGCAGCTCTTTTTTTCTCATCTTCCTAAGATAAAACAGGGAGCTTCTATCACTACAATCCACATGTTAGTGGTACAACACAGTTTCAAAAGCTACACTTACTTTCCAGCAATAAACTAGTGAGTCCCCCCCCCTCCCCCCCATTTCTGCTCAGACAGAGGTTATGTGCTGCTAGGCAGCCTTTCTTCTTGGTCTGATTCACAGAAGGCTGAACTGGCCACTGGTGCATTGTGTTCAGGAGGGGATGGGCAGGGTCACAGAGCAGAAGGAGGGAAAGAAGAAAAAAAAAAGGCACAGCTACCCCTCCTCGTAGTCCCCTGACAATAAAGCGTTGCATGACATCACGCATAGGGGGAGTGATTTGTGAGACTTTATGTGTAACATACATCACTTCCTAGCTGCCATAACACAACTGTTATAGAAAAAGGGCTGACAGCCTCTTGGCTTATCACTGTGCCGTCTCTCTGTCTCAGCTGCAAGCTGCGCGAATGGTTTGTGTGACTGCCTCTTCCAAAACTGTGACTGCATGAGCTTCTCCGATACATGGATTTCCTGGCTAACAATGGATCGGACCAGCCACCTGCCAGAAGACTATATTCCAGGTATTAACATGGGGCGCAAAGGTAGAAGGGTACCCTGGCCGTAACATGCTGTTTATGCATAAACGAGGCTGCATTTGGTGCTGATGGTCACGGCTATATGCAGCAGCTCTGCTGGTTGTCTGTAGACAGACATCCCTGAGCAAAAAAGGACACAGACTTGAGTGAATGAATTGTTTCATTGTTCTAGACTTGGAAAGGAAATGATTACATTTAATGGCTGTTGTAGACTGGTAGACCAGATGTCTGTCTTTCACTAGAGGTGACCCCCTCATGGTAAACCCGAGGTCACCCCTAAGAAAAAAAATTACTAGTACAAGTGCCCCTAATTTGGAACAAATATAAGGGAATGTTTTATCAGGGAAGTGGATATGTTATTGTTGAATAACGTGAGAATATATTTTAACATTTGAGTGCTCGCAGTAGATTTCCTGGCTGCAAGTTCACTGAAGGACGGATGGCCTTATTTGGGACCCAAATTCCCCCCTCCCCATCCCTCTTTTCTCATTAACAACCATTTTAATGGAAAGATCTGTAGAAATAAATGTACTCGTTTTCTACCAGAAACCTCTATAGTGCTCTTATCTGTATGTCAGAGTCTGCACTGTACATGAAGGTGTTTCCTATATTCAGACACCAGTATAATGGATAAATAGTGATGTTACCCAACTGGGTGCGTGCTTTTATTTTCTCACTTGCTCAAGACAGGTGATAGAGTTTGCTTTCCACTGTTGTAACTATTATTAATCAAGCCCCAGTGTTTTTCTAGTGAGTTGTGTTTCATGTTGTACCCTTAACCAATGCATTAAAAATGTCTTTTAAACTTGAACTACTGATGGTTTGTCTGTTTGCCTGTCTGAAGTGATCAGTGAAATGGGGGGAGTATGTAGAGTAAGGGTAGCTCAGTTGGGAAGCTCAGACCCTTGGACTAAAGAAAATAGTTTATCCTAACTTCTGTAGTCATTATATAGAATGTAGCATCTAGCATTCCGGAATTATAAAGAGTTGTAAGGTAGTCAAAGACATTGGAGGTTTATTTGACTGTCCACGGACATTTGTGTCCATTGGGGGGGGGTCTATACAATTCATTTGTAAATAGCATACATAGCAGGACAGGGGAAGAACACTGTAGAGTCCACCGGCTGCATTTTATCATGGGAGAAGACAGGCCCATAGTCATAAGTGTATATGGGATATAAGGTGTTTCGGTATGGGTGATATCTACAATTGTGGAAGACAGATGGTTGTTTATTTAATTGGGCTTGGACAGTGTATGCAAATGTCTGCCACACAGGTATACAATGAAATACACATGAATGTGGAAATTGACCCAAGGGACCATCTCACTGTCTGAGCATGTCTTAAACTATTATGCATAAGCGTTTCTGATTTTGACTGAGGATGCAGTGAACATGGCCCTTTTATTTATTAAGCAGGAGTACTGGAATCTTTTATGTATTTCCATATAACATCTGATCAGCATGTAAGACAATCCATTTCCTCATGTATGGAAAGCTTTAAGCCACCTGTGGTTTTGGACCCGCAATTCTTAGCATGCACAGTCTGGATTTTTTTGCAAATGGTAATTCTTCACTGGCTAAATGGTTAAAACTAGTCTGTGTATTGGAGAGAGGTCATAATGATAATAGTTTTTATTTCACAACCATAAGATTTTATTAAGGGTCTGTTTACACCATATCCAGACCGGAAGAGTTTGTTCCCGGACCAAAAAAGCATCCCAATGTTTCCCTATGGTATTTCTGGGCTCTGTTCACACCAGTGCAGTCCGTTCCTGTCCAGACAAAAAAAAAACTGCTTGTCTAATTTTCTCTGATCTGGAACGCACTGGGACACATGGAACCGCATCAAAAATGCATACAAATGCACCGGACGGCACCTGAAAGCCTATTTTAATCTAAGAAAAGAAAAACATGTGGCAAAAAGGCACTAAACTGCATTTGCAGATCTGCTCCAAAATTGGTCCAGACATGGTGCGAACATTGCCTAGAAATTGTGTAACACCTACACTTTCTTCTGCACTGTTAATTGGCAGGCATTTCCTGCTAGAAATTCCCACCAATCAGCAACTTAAACTGGGCAGCCATGCCAAGGCCCTCAGTTCCCAGATGTTTTGCTATACTGCCTTTAGCAACCCATTTGTTTCCAGTGTGGGCTCTGTTGTGCCCAGCCCAACTAGAAAACCGTGGTTTCAGAGTGCAGCCAAAGCAAACCAAGAACTTCCAAGCAGTGGTGGCATCAACACTGCTCTGTGAATACAGCTGATCAGCAAGACCCTATTTATTTATTTCCTATATTTATATTGCAGTGACATATTACACAGCGCTTTACAGAGTACATAGAACTTTTCACCTTTGTCCTTGTTCCCCTGAATAAACCCACAATTTTCCATCTTTATCACACTCATTCACACTCAGTGGGGCTAATTTGGGGGGAATCCAATTCACTTTCCAGTGTGTAGATTGTGGAGGATCAAAGGGAGAACATACAAACTCTGTGAAGGTAGCCACCCAGAACTGCACTGCCAAATACTGTGAAGTTTCCCCCTTTAACTGTGAAAAGTAGGAAAATTATTCTCTAGAGTAAAATATGGGGTCTGCCATTGACAGCTTTTTAAAAATGCTTGTTACAAATAAACAGACAAATTGTAACAATGTCATAATAAACCACATACGGCAAAATGCTGAAAGTTGCACTCACAAGAGAGCCGCTTGGTAGGTGCTTGTAACAAAACTATAGGTCCAAGTGGTGAAGGCCCCCCATGCAAAAGCTCTACTCAAATCCACTTTTATCAGGAGGTAAGCTTTGGTAGGGCTTCATTCTTGTGGCAATAATCGGAAAAGTACAGTGTTTGAAAGAGGCACACAGACTCCGTGCATTAAAAATGACAAACGTTAATGAATAAAAGCATAAGGTGCACTCACAAGCAATTCACAGAAATGGTGCTTTTAATAGGCCCTGGATAGTGTCCACAACATCCACTTGTGGTCAGCAGTGGCGTAGATGGATGGAGGTATGGTTCCCGAGGGCATGTAGAGGCAGATCCACTATAAAATGGTAGACGGTGGTGTCCTCATTGTTGGGCAGCACCCTCTCCAAGAGACAGCGGCATCCACTTTCAGGTTGCTGTGTTGGTGGGCAACGCATTTCAAGGATATCTTGCACTTTCACAAGCCGCGTGTGTGTGTCACGTAGGTGCTGGCTTTAAATATTAGTATTTGCTAAGAGGGAGAAGGGGGTGCAAAGCAGCAGATTTTATGGGGAGACATGCTTTAACAGTGGCGGAAAGAACTAAAAGGAACTTAGAACTACAACAGGCGTTACAAAAAATTGCAAATATTGCTGTGAATGGAGCTGCATGATTAAACCATATATACATAAATCAATGAATCAGTAAAATGAGTTATTACTTATTTGGATTATACAAGTGCATATACAGTATATGTGACTAGAGGGGGTGAGAAATCCTATAAATGTGTAAATAGGAATTAAATAAGAGATAAAATGTAAACAAATAATGCCAGCAAAACATAATAATAATAATACAAAAAACAAACAAACCGGTTAAGAAATAAGAATTGGTGAACCCATCCTAAAATGAAGCTGAATAAACCCACCATAAAATGGTTATTATATAATGAGTATTTCCCGCTTGCACTTTGTTTTAGCTGCCTTTTATTGAACGAGAACTCAGAGATGACGGTTTACATTTTTCATACTTTAAATCCGTTCATAAGTATGCTAAAACATTGTTGTGTCTTTGGTTAAAATGCATTGAAGTTGTAGCTGTACGTCATATAACTATCATGCTTTCTTGTGTCCTGTAACTTTTACTGCCATGATTCTGCACACAATAATTCATTGTGCAGCTCCTATCCTCCTTGGGATTATCTGGTGGGGACCAAGATGGAAACTTACTCCCACAATGCACTGGGGGCTTTCTCTGCTCTGCCACTCCATGCACTGTGCTATCCAACACCATGGTATAGTGATATTCTTTATTTATAAAGTACTGACATAAAATGCAACACTGATAGATCAAAGGCACATAGTGTGTTAGGGCGTCTGACCTCAAACCTGCATATACAGCTCTATATTTACAAGTACAAGACTTCATAGAGTTTATTGCTTAAGTGTAACGAGTTCAGCAGCTTCTGTTTAAAAACGGTCTCTTAACTTTTCACTACAGCTGGAGATTTTTTTTTCTCTTTGACATTAAGCCATAGGCTGCATCATGGACAGGAAACACGTGTCTGGCCAGATGTTGTAGATATAAAAACTCCCAGTGGATCTTTTAGGGCGTGCTGGGAGCTGCCATGCTCTGGGCTTCTTTGAATGTTTGTCAAAAAAGTTTTGGCAGTGGAAGAGTTCATTTTTTTAAAAGGGCCTCACCTTAAACCCTGGGAACTTGGCAGGGATTGGTCCACATGGAAGGGAACCTGTTAGACAGGCTGCCAGTGGTGTTAACCCCTTTCTAGCTGGGTAGGTCTGCTGTTCAGTGGGAGACAGGTGCACAAGGAGACCACTTGTATGAAAGGAAACCTATGCAGTCCAGGTTTTTTAAAAGGACATTCTTGCTCACCCCATGCAAAACTGCGGATACTATATTATACTACTATATTTTAGATATATAAACAAAGCTTTCAGGAGCTGCAACATGAAGTTAATACAAGGCACCAGTTTCTGTTATTGTCTGCAGCCTTGAACCAGTCTTTGGCTGCTACTGTCCAAGATCTGCCTTAAGGTGCCCATGCACCTTGCAATCATCGGACGAAAACTTTCGTCCAATGATCGAACTGTCGTACGATTTTTGTACGGCGGCCCCATCCTGCCCCGACCATCGCACAGTTCAATTAGCGGTCTTTAGCAGAGATCACCTGGACAAATTTCGTTAATCGACCGCTCGGATTTTCGTTTGCGCATGAGCAGTGTTAATCGTACAAATTTTGACGTACGGAAACCAACCTTGTGAAAATCATATGATT